ACAAGTACTCTTTTTGTTTTGGAATGTTTAGAGGGTTGTAAAGGAATCTTCAGATATCAGTTCTCTGTTCAAAAGTGCCTTAAATTTGTATATTATCCAAACAAAAAACCACAAGTAGTTCAGCCTCAAAATGACCTCCTCAGATAAAATTTCATTAAGCGAAATTAGGCGTATTTAACAATTAAATAAATATCAGAGGCTTTCAGATAAGCCAAAATGCCTCGAGTGAGGACTGGAAGAGAGCGTATGTTATTCTGCAGAAGCGACGCAGACAGAATCCAGTCGACGTTACGTAACATGAAGTCGCAAAAATTATGTACAAAGATTAAGAAAGTAAACCGTTATCTGCCAACGGCCCTCGGCTATATAGAAGGAGGCGGGGACGAGGGACTGGGGCCAACAAGGTGAGCAGTGGTTGGGACAGGGGAGCACAATCCGTGTTGACAGTTTGCGCTGCAGGCGATGCCAGGAGGAGGTGAGCGGGGAGGAAAAACATAATGAAATTATGTATTTCCAGAAAATTCCGTGTGTGGCAGATGAGCTCTGCTTTATGTGTATGTGAGATTTCCTTCTGTTTTACGTGCGCACGAGAGAAAATGAATCTTAAAATTTCCTACAATAATAAAATAAGCGGACAAACAAATGTGGGATGTAAAAATAACATTGAGAGCACATAAATGAAACGAATCAGATTAAAGTAAAGCGTTCCATAAAAAGGTAAACATAAAATCTCTAAAAAAATATACTTAAAAATATATCTTTGACAGGACAATAAAGAATTGTGCTTTGAAAGAAATTAAATTATGGTAAGCAGATTTTTGCATGCTATTTATTTAAAATTTGTATATAAAAGATGAATATTTTTGAAACTCGTATACCCTTGCCAGTTTAAAACTTCTTCTGAACAAAAGTATAATACCCTGGATTCTATACAAATATGCTTCAAAAAAATAAATACAAAAATAAAGACTTTGCTTTCTCTAAATCTTATAAAATTAAAAAGCTATAATAATATAATGTTATAAAACACCATTTATGAACGGGATCCTTATTAAAATTTGGATTTCTAACACCAACAGGAAGCTCTAATATGGAACATTCACTTTAGCTTTTGAGATACTTAAGAAAATAACTAAAATTTCGAATGATAACCTTAATATATAAAATGTCTGCTTAAAGATCCTTCGGAAAATAAAACTCATCCCGCCAAATATGAATCCTTTCAGCATCTGACCAACAAATCGAACGTGATACTTGAATTCCGAACTCCTAGTTTTCTGCGTGCCTTGTGGGCGAGCGGAATCGGTTACCTGATATCCGATTGCCAAAGGTGGTGGTGTCGGCTTTGTTTCCGTCTTGCTTCGATTGATTCCGATTCTAATTGTTTTGGTCTAGTGGTAATCGTCTTTTGTCTGTGCAAATTACCTGAGCCGTGGCAAAACTTCAACCCCCAAATGGGCAAATAATTATTCGTGCAAACCCAAAATCCCCCCAAAACTCCCCAGGGGGCCCCAGTAACGAAAGCTGAGGAAGGGAGAAAAATTAAGCAAATATCACGTCGTTCACATTTGAACTTCAGACACAAAATCAAAGACAAGCTGAGTTTCTGGATACTGTGGAAACTTGGCCACAAGTTGTATAATCGTTGTGTAGCAGAATTTTCCACCTCCCATGCGTGGGGAAATCCATGTGTGTGCCTGTGTGTGTATGTTGTTGAGTGGTTCTCCGCTTGATTCTGCTTCGGTTTTAATTACAGAAAGGGCTCGACAGCCCGACAATGGAGTTTAGATAGCCCGGAGAAAGTTCGCCCAATTGGCGGTGGAGGTGAGTGTTAATGATGGGCGACCGGGATTTGCCCTGGGCTCCTGGAGTGGCAAAGGAGATCGAAACTGCTCAGGGACTTAGGTGCGGAATGACAAGCATTTGAGGCAAGTAATAACAGCTTATATCTTGTTGATCTTTGAACTGGATTTGAGATGAATTTGGATATATGTCATGATGATATGAGCACCACTGTATGTATGTATGAATTTCCATTTGTAAAGTGTAGACTTCATATAACATTATTGTTTTTAACAAAATGTAAATAGTTTAATAATCTGCCTTCCTAGATGAAAATTCTTAAGGTTCTTTTTTTTCCTGTGCATCAACAAACAAATAAACACAGAGGAAGTTTGCTGCAAACAAGCGAATTCATTGCTAAATCATCGAGTACAGGGAACTCGTTTTAACTTTGTTGCTACAAGAACAAAAAAAAAAAGAAAAAGATGGGGATTTACCCCAAACGCACACACACAGAGAAAGGGGAAAAGTCGTGGCAGGATGTATGTGTGGGTAAATTGTAGAGTTGGCGCAAACGAGTAAAGAAATCGCTCATGCAAAACTGATTGACTGTAACGAAGAAACTGTAAAAAGAAACACGAAACTTGTTACAGTTGCTGCTGCTGCTGATTTTTAGACCCTGCCACGCCCAATGCAACCGCCTTTTCGCTGCCCCAGCACTCCCCCTTAGCTGCCTGTTATCTGTCGGCGTTTATTTATGTACATCTCTCCGGCTGCGGCGCCCTCACATATGCAACGTATTCATTTGCCGCCGGTTCCCGAATCCCATTCAGCCTCCCGCTGCTGCATCCTCCCAGTCGCTGATTTTTATTGGAACGAAAATATCAGTGGCTGGCAGCCAGCCCCTCTTCTTTTATGCTCGTCAGGACTTTTTTTTTTGTTTTTATTTTTTTGTGGGTTGCGCACTTAATTGAAAGGAATTGTTAATTCAAAAGACCTCTCCACCCATTCTTCTGCTTCGATTCTTTGCCTTTGTGCGTGATTGGTTGGACTGCAAGCGCTGGTAACTGTCTTCCCGCTTGATTTCTGCTCTCAAACTCAATTATTTTAATTTGGTCTTGGCGAAAAGTTACACATCACGCTTTTCTACACTTAACAAAAAAATACAAAGAATCCAGAGATAGCAAAATAAATATAACTTGAGCTTCCAAAGACCAGACAATGTCTAGCAAATAAACTCTAATGAAACCGAAACAAATAATAAAAATATATGTTCCAGCCTGCTCCTTGTCAAGGCTTAAGAGGTTATTTATTCAATCAAACCGACTTGACCTCCAGACTGAACCTTCTTTAATTATATTTAATAATAATAAAGACATACAAATTTTGTTTAGTGCTGACAGGCCTGTTTGTAAGACATAATGTTAGCCGGAGGACGTCAGTCAGTCGTCGCCTCCCCCGCCCTATTTGTTGGATTTATTCGTGACACTTATTTGTCATTTTTAGCATATAATAGCATTGTGTGGATTATAAAAGGATTATGGCAGAGGACGCCGCCCTCTGGCTCCTCCAATCTTGTGCCACTCTTGAGCACTCCCCACTACGCCGTAATAATTGCTCACGTTCTCACACCCCCTGTGGCTTTTAAAACCAATTTGGTGAAACCGTCCGACCACCACCAGCCCAGTCAACCAGGTCAAAAAGCTGCTCCAAGATGTGTGTAATTAGACGTGACTTTTACTCGAGTTCTTCGTCCTTATTGTGGAGATCGAGGGAAGGGTTTCAAGAGAGGTGACTGCGGGCCAAATCGGGTCTTAAAGCCTTCTTAACGCTGTTGTTATTTAGAGCTTAATTGTGCTAGGACATGGCCCAGGGATTGGGGTTGGGCTTCCGCTCACGAAGAAGGGGTTCATGTGAACTGCCCCTAGAGTTCAAGATGGCTTTAAGTCCGCTTCAATGGATAATCCATAGAGCTCACGCTCACGCCCTTAGTCCTCCCCTCCCGCCGACCGCAATTAGCCAGGCAGAAGCTCAATATCGACACATTAGCATTAAGCACCGCCCTCCACATCCCGGGCGTAATCAGATTATCTGCGCCACCCCCCAGGATACCCGGATTCCCTGCGAAAAGGAGCTAATTTGTGCACGGAAATCACGCCCTGGAGCACGGATTTCCCACCTCCGTATGTCGTCCGTGTGCGTGTCACCTTCAGCCGACGGTTTCCCTTTTCGCCTTTGTGCAAATTGAAAATATGCCAAATAATTACACATTTTTATGTGAATTTTTCAATTTATATGCCGTCAAATAAACGCTGCGTGCACATCACAGCATTGACAACCAGTAGGGTTTGGGTGGCAATTGTGCCTCCTCCCACACTCTCCGCACCCCTTCGACTTTGTCGCCAAGTCTCCTTCGTTGAAATTATTTATTCAAATATATCTGACCTTGAAAAGCTGCGTTTTTAGTTCGGAAGAGCTCCGCTAGGTGGCTAAATGGTAGGTAGATGGACTAAGAAAGCTACGAAGTCCTTCGGATTTTAGTACCTTGAAAAGCTGTGTTTTTGGCTCGGGAAAGCTTCCGCTGAGCGTCAAAAATCTCGATTTCGCGGTTAAAATATCGATATATTGATACAGTCGTGGACATTAGTATTTTTACATAAATAAAAACTCACATTTTGTGTTATAAACTCTAAATTATTTATCCAAAAAATATTAATGAAATTTCTTGATAATAATAGAGTAATAAGACTATAAAAAATAACAAAAATATTACATTTCATATTACATCTTATACGTGATCTGAAGGACGCGCAGAAAAAATGCCTGTGAGTAGTCAGAGATGTGCCCCAAGTCTCGTCTCTACTGCCCACATTTCGTTTCCAGTAAAACCCTTGAGAACGATGACTACCATCAACAGCTATGTGGAGCAAATCATCCTAGAGAGGGACGCCGAGGTTGTGGTGGACAGTCTGCGCGAAGAAAACAAGTCCCTGAAGGCTCAAAATCCAGGCAATGGAGGGGGTTTCGGCCATTCTGGCAGCTGGCTCGGCGAATGCCGACCGCACGCGTTTACTTGCTGGTGTAAAAGTTTGTATCTCCTAGGCTGAATTGCTTAAGGTTCCTATTGAAGCGGTCTGCCCTAGTCCTTTCTACAGATTTGCAATGCAAATCCTCAAACAGAACCCCACAAAATGGCCACCCAGGAAAACAAACGGTTTTTATAGTAGTTGTTATTTTTAATGCGTTTACAAGTGTCTCAAGAGTCTGCGTTGTATTGAACGACGCGCACTCCACAAAACTTACAAAGTTCATTGTTAATGTTATCCCTATGCCACAAGCAGGCTAAAAATCAACCCCGCCGTCGGCGCTTGTCCGATAGTTGTAATTAGTTATTAAATACATAAGCAGACAAATGCAGTTTTATACATTTAAAATGTACAAAAGGGGTTTCATGGGATGGGGAAAATTGTGAGATAGAACACAAAAGAAAGAAAAGATCAAAAATAAATGGGGTTTTTTAGAGTGAGGATTCTAGAGGGAGAAAAAATGAAATGATTTGGATGCGGGGGATGGATGACAAGGGGGCTGTTAGTTTAACCGCTGAGTGACCGGCAGCTTCTTGCGCCGTCTACGCAATTGCTGGCTGCGATCCCAGTACTCATAGTAACGTTCTTGTTTTAACCACTCCTGGTACTTATACCACCACTCTTCCCACTTGATATAGTCCTGGAAATAAAATGACGTGCATTAGTTAATCATATTGCCATTTGTTAAATTACTATTATATTTACCTTCAGATCCAGATCCCTTAGATAACCACGACTCTTGTAGTATTCGTAACGGACGCGCACATCATCCCACGACAGCATTCCCGACGGTGCTGTGGTAGCCAACTCCTCCGGAAAGTGCCCGGCCGGCGCCGGCGAGTACGAATAACGACGCGGCGGCGACTCCAGACCCTCTTCGATCATCACTTTGAGGGCCCCACCGGCGGAGTCTTTGGTGATGCGCATGTTCTCCATGTTGCTGCGATCAATGCTCCACTGTGCCATTTTTCCGAATCGCTCTGAGAGCGTCAAACGCGTTGTGGCCGAGAATGTGGGCAGCGAGCCCACCTCATCGCTCGAATCGCCCGAGTCGTCCGAATCGGAGGAGGAGTTCGCCGCGTTAGCTCCGGCTCCACTGGCCGTCCCGGTCGGATGCTTTTTGCGTTTCTCACCTTCAATTTTAATTCGTGGCCTCATCTGTAAAGAATCAATATGATATATTAATATGTTATCGATGCCTTTGAACATATCTCTTGTTACCCACCTCCTTCTCCTTCTTTTTCTTTTTGGCCTGCGCGGTGGGCGGTCCGGCTGGCGCTGCTGCCGGCTCTGGTGGCTCTGGAGGACGGTGCTTAAGACGCGGATCTTCCGGCGGCGGAGAATGACGAGACGATCGCGGGATCTTCATGTGGGCATCCGACGAGGACCCGCGTTCATGACTGATGTGACGCATTTTCGCCTGGCGATACTTTTCCATTGCGGATACCGAACTGCCACCACCTCCGCGCACGGGCGGTGGGGTACTTGGTCGACCATGGATGCGCCCATGTGAATCCGACGGAGGGGGCGGCGGCGCCCCCGCACGATAATGGCCACGTGGCTTGGGTGGCGGCGAACGAGGACCACGAGATCTGCAAAAGAAATAAAAACATTAGTAAAGAAATGTGAGAGGTCTAAGTAATCTGTTGACTTACCGAGATCTATGCCGATGGCTGGGCGAGCAGAGGGAACAGGAGTCATCCGAGCTGCTGCTCATCGAACTGTTTGAACGCGAACGCATTGTGTGCTGAAAGAGTGACAGAATTTTTTATTAATTATCGATCTGCATTCTATATTTAATCCAGATCTTGTCTTGTCTACTAACCCTTGGCGGCGGCGATGGCGGACGTTTTGAACGCGGCAGAATATGGGTGACACCGCCCCGCTTTTCCATGCCAGACGACGGCGGTGGCAGCGGCGGCGAGCGACGACGGCCCAGCGGAGAACGCGACGCGTTCGGCTTCCTTCGTAGCGACGTGGAGGAGCTCGGTTCCGGCGGCGACCGTGGCCTTCCGTGGCCATTGCCCGGCCGACGCATCATGGCGTCGTGACTGTTGGGCGAACGCGGCATCGGCGGCGAACGCGGTCCGCCGCGGCGCTCCAAGCCGTGCATAGGCATTGGCGGCGATCGGCGACGCGGTGGCGGTGACAGCGGCGGAGACTTGCGCAGACGGGAACGGCTCCGGGAGTGCGGCGAGCGGGAGCGGCCATAGCGCGGTGGCGGCGGCCCGGGCGGAGGTCCTCCGGCTCCAGCTGGCGGATAACGGCCATAGGGAGGCGCTCCTCCTTCGCGGGCATCCCGGCCCTCGCGACCTTCACGTAGGTCCCGACCTTCGCGTTCACGATCACGGTCACGGTCGCGGTCTCGGTCGCTCTCGCCGGAGCTGCTCTCGCCCTGGATGTACATCTTCTTGTAGCCGGTGTGACGCCAGCGATTCGGGTCCTTCTCCTCGGCCTCGATCAGCTTCTTGTCCCAGTAGTCGTTGGTGGTGTTGGCGCGAGCCTTCTTCATGACGTTGTCAATCTCGCGTCGCTTGCCAGCGGGTAATGAAGGATCTGCAAGGTGAGATGGGAGAGAGGTCAGCTACGGTTTTGGCAGCGCCTGCGTTTCGCCTCGATCCGATCCGCTTTCCCGGGAAGCCCTTTTATTATGCATTTATTAGGGTCCTTAGGACATGGCTAAGCGCGAATCGCAAATCGCTAATCCCGGCGAGGTATGCATGTAGGCATTCCCCAGCCCAAGTTCTAGGTCTAGTAGTAGTTGCTGCTTGTTGGTGGAATGGTGGATTTCAGGTACCTGTTATGCGGGCAGCCGTCGGCTGCCTGTCCATATGCAGTTTGGGATTCAGTTCGGCGCGCCTGCGCGACGCCATCGCGGTTTGCGGATACGGGACTCGGGATTCGGGGATTTCGGCCTGGCAACAATCGCGCACGTTTATTGCCCAGGCGTTTTCGTGTTTATTACCCGTATTTACGCGACAACACACTTTACCATTTCAAAAACATACACACAAGCTGCAAATATATTACAATTGATATATAGAAACATGTAAGAGAGCATTAGAAATGGCCAACAAAAAGGAACAATATCAACAGCAACATAGAGAAAGATAGAGAGAGAGAAATATAAAGATTCAGGAGCGAGTCTGTGATTGTCCGAGCGCGGGGCAGCGTAAAGAGATGCGAAGACGAGGGATTGAGATAGAGCTCAAAACGCAGAGTATCCGGGACACGTTCCGGCTGCCGTTGGGCGAGCGACGCGAGGGGTGGGGAATGCACGTATTCAACCCATAACGCGCCGCGGGAGGAAACGACCTAGAGATAGCCAGATCCGAATCCAAATCGGGCGAGAGAGCAGCAGATATCCAACCTAGAGCTGGGAAACTATCGATGGCACTATCGAGGTATCGACTTTTTACCTTTTCTGAGCCACCATCGATAGTTGTTTGTCACTATCGATGGTGCTGGGCATTTTTGACATCACTGATATTGCGAACACGAGGCTTGGTTGACGAAAATTTTGGTAAGAAACTGCAATTTATTAAATATTACATAATTTCTAATCAAAATGGATTTTTAGATAAACTTAAATTGAACGGTGGTGGTGGCCTCAGCATGGACAAATACTTACGGAACCTTAAAAGAAAAGGTAATTATAATATTTTTATCAACAATGGCAAACATGTTAGTAATGGTTACTTGTATATGTATGTGTACCTAGATGACAACACAACAGATAAAAACAGCTCTGATGAGGAAAACGGCGGAATTAAGAAAGCAAGAGTTGGTAAATCCAAAGTGTGGAATTTTTTCGTCAGATCAAATGATGGTAAGACTGCAAAATGCATATCCTGTGAAAAAGTGTACCGTACTAGCGGAAACACTTCCAATTTGTTTGACCACCTTAAACGGGTACACCCAGCGTTGAAGGTTGGCGATCTTGAGGTGTCCTCGTCGTCAAAGATAGACTCCTTTGTGACTACATGCTATGATACGCATTCCAGACGCAAAGCCGAACTGGACAGGGTGGTCATGCGATACATCACTACAGACATGCGACCATATTCCGTTGTGGAAGATACTGGATTTCGTGAAATGCTTAAAGCTTTTGATCCTCGATATAAATTACCATCTCGAAAAACATTAAAAAATGTGATCATGGAAGAGCAGTATGCAGAAAAAAGAATTAAATTGATGGACATTTTAAAGAAAATTGACTTCTGCGGTATTACTACAGATATTTGGACTTCGGTAGCAAATGAAGCCTTTATAACTATCACATGCTCCTTCGTCACAGAAGACTTTGATCTGAAAACGGCTGTGTTGTCAACAAATAAACTACGATGCGAAACAAACCACACTGCTGAAAACATTAAAGAAACATTACAAGCAGTTTTTGATAAGTGGGATATTTCTGCCAAAATTGTAGCAATAGTAACAGACAATGCAAGCTCAATGATTAAAGCGTGTGAGTTACTTCAAAAGAGAAATATACCCTGCTTTGCGCATACTGTTAATTTAGTGGTACAAGACTGTCTCAAACTAGATTGTTTGGTCCCTTTACTTGCGAAATGTAAAAGCACGGTGACTTACTTTAAATCGAGTACTATAGCATATAAAAAGCTAAGAGACTACCAAGATGGACAAACAAAATATAGTCTTAAACAAGAGGTTCCTACTAGATGGAATAGCGCATATTATATGATTGACAGGATTTTGAAAACGCATGAGGCTATCGGCAAAGTTTTTCTAAATACGTCAAAAGCACCACAACCTTTTACTGTGGACGAATTAGACATACTTTTGGATCTAACAAAATTACTTGCTCCATTCGATACAGCTACTAAACAAGTATCTTCTAATACAGTAGTAACAATATCAATATGCATTCCTATTGCTTGTGGTCTTATGCATACGTTGGATTCCGTAAAGTCAGAACTTAAGTCTAGTGAGGGTCTAGCAGCCTGCAAATTTTTAATGGATAACATTATAACTAGACTTTCGAAATATGAAGAACGTTCGATTACGCGAATTGCAACATTAATTGACCCAAGATTTAAAAAGCAAGGCTTCCGATCTCCATTCAACTCTGGACAGGCCGAAAAGCTTTTAGAGAATGAGATGACACTCTTAAAAAATCTTTCACACGATTCCGTACTCCATGCTGTAGAGCCACCACCACCACTTCAAAACAATCAATCTCAATCCTTATTTAAATTTGTTAAACAAAATATTGAAGAATTGCCCAAGACAAAGAGGGTAGACGCAATTGTTGAGCTTCGACAATATTTTAACTTGAATCATTTGGACGAAAATGTAGATCCACTCCAATACTGGAAGGTAACTATACCAATATGCACTAACCATAAGAAGACATAATTAATAAAATTTCCTTTATTTCAGCATAATGATTCAAATATGAAGCAATTGGTACGTAAATTTTTATGTGTTCCGGCAACTTCCACTGAGTCGGAGCGAATGTTCAGCAAGGCTGGACTCATAATGAGCAAACGGAGGGCTTCGCTGGAGGCAAAAAACCTTGATGCTTTATTATTTTTGCAGAGGAATGCCTGGGTCAACTAAATATTTTCAACTGACTCTAATTTAATTTTTGTTTAAATGAGTTGAACTCAGAAAAGTTCCTTCAGCCTAATTTTGTATTACTTTGATCTCTTATTTTAAGTTGTTATTTTGTTAGTATTAAAGCATTTAATATGAAAAATATAAATTAATTGCTTTTAATAAAAAGATTGTACTAGAAACGATACTATCGATAGTATCGAATTTTCGCTCTGAAAACATCGAAAATATCGAATGGTGCCACTATCGATAGTTTCCCAGCTCTAATCCAACCGGCTTGCACGATTGTTTCACACTTGCATTTTCTTCATCTTCCATTTTTCTGCTTCTGCTTCACGCACATACACACACACCAACACCAATTTATTTGCTTTGTCAGCACGAGAGAGGAACTCGGAGCGAACAAGCGAGCGAGCGAGACAGAGTGTGGCAAAGGGGCTCCCGACGACAGCATTAGCAACCGATATTAAACTCTGGCGATTGTAGAAACGACGTAAACAGACACTAAACTAATTTGCTTACATTTGGCAACGTTTGCGTGCACGCTTTTCGAGATTTTGTGGGGATTTGATGGCAAAAAACACGGCGAAGAGTTTTTCTTTTTCATGGACTTGCGGCGGCCATGTTAGTCAGACCGTATGTGGCAAGCAGAAAAATGCCGTGGTACCACAAGACAAACCATCCGCGAAATAGGAACGATGGAATATCGTGGGGCCCTATCGGTTGACTTTAATAATTATATAAATTTAGAGACCATATACGACTGATTGACTAAAATCATGTATAATAATAATTAATTAATCTTCGGCTTTTGATGCTGAAGATATATTAAACCCAACATTTAAATTTAAACACAACATTGTCTGTTTTCAAGACCATTTTTATGCGATAGTCGTGACTCGGGACACCAAAATACCGAATTGCCAATATCCAAATGCCGCACGGTCACACAGTCGTGTTTCTGTGAAATAAACCTAAATTACAAACTATAATAAAATATACAAAAATGCAGCGTGATGAAAAGCTGTTTGAGATGACGCTGGACACCGTCCTCCAGCGCTTAAACGACCTCAAGCTGGCGGTGCTCTCCATGATCCAAAAACTGGAGATGGAGTACGAGACCATCAACTGGCCAACGTTCCTGGACAACTTTGCAATTATTTCTAGTCACCTCACGGGACTGACCAAAATTCTGGCGAAGGAGCAGTGTCCGCCGCTGCGGAATCGCACCGTCCTGCCTTTGCTGGTCTCCATGGATCGGGACGACACGCTCATCAATATCACCGAGGGTCGGGTGCCGGTCTTCTCGCACGACATTGTCCCGGACTATCTACGCACCCGGCCGGATCCGATCACCGAGCAGAAGATGCAGCAGAACGAGCAGAAGGCGGCCAATCTCACTAACGATGCGGCCATGAAGCAGGTCACGCAGTACAACAAGGTCGTCTCGCACGTCCTGGACATGGTGAGCAAGGCGCGCGAAGAGTGGGAGATCGAAAGCTCCTCGCGCACTGGAATACAACAGACAAGCAGCATGGCGGACACACAGCTACTTGTCGCCGCCGTTGGCATGGGCAAGGGTCTCAAACTGACCAATTATGGACCTGGTCCCGGTATGATGGTCCCGCCCTCGATCCGTGCACCCTCGCCCATGGGCGGACCCGCAATGAGTCCGGGCAATGTGCAGCAGCAGCTGGGCAAGGCCCCGTCGGCGGTGAAGACCAACATAAAAGCGGGAAATCAGGTACACCCGTTCTCTCGATAGCAAAATCCTTAGTTTATTGTTTTCCATCTGGCGGAATGTATCTTCATAATAAATTATATGTACTTAGGCTAAGACTATGATTAAGCAAACAAAAACATGAACAGCTTCTGAAGAATCCAACTCAGACTTCTTTTGTTTCCGGCTGCGCGTGATTCTCTGTAATGAGAATCTCGTGCATCTTAATATCCTTCGGTGTGGATGTGTCGATCAGCTCCAAGCACAGCGCTCGCGTTTCATCCTTTTGTTTCTGCAGGCAGCGCACAATTCCTATAAACATCTTGCCCAGCGTTAGCTTGCGGAACCGGACACAGTTCTCATGGCTCCAGACCACGTCTGCCAGTTTAATGCCTAAAAAAAGCAAAGAAAGGATCCACTGAGACTAGAAAATTTTGGGAATTAAGCTTGTTGCAAATCTCACCATATAATTGAGCTGGCAGCGCCATCTTGGGAAGCTCCCTGAACTCCGGCGGGAGTGTTTTTAATTGATCACAGGCCACCACACCATCGTCGCCCACGTCCACGAAACTGACGTGTATAATCTCATCGTAAATTTTGCGAATATTTACGCTGCAAGAGAATCAAGATAATTGATGGATACATTCGGATTATTTGTAATAAACTTACCGATGATAAACGCCCTCACTGTCGGGCGCAGCGTAGGCCTCGCCGATGGCCAGTTGGGAGGGCTCGACTCCCTTGGCTGCCTTTCCCTTGCAATATTCTTGTAGATCCTTCATCAAAAACTGAAGCTGATTGTAGAATTTGTAAGGTTGAACCTGCAGTTGGATTTTAAAATTTTATTAGAAACAATTCAGTTGAACCAGGTCCTAGGTGCTCACCGCAAAGTGTCCTGGATTTATGGAGAGGGATACGCGCACTTCAAAGTAGGCGCCCACCGCCGGAATGGCTTCGTAATCTTTAAGCAGGAGTGTCGAAAATGTTGTGGCTCCTGATCGTTTTGGAGATGCCTTTTGAGGTGACGACGGCGAGGTGAAGGCGACAAGGTCGCTGCTGCTGCTTTGACTTGAGACCACGGAGCTGAAGCTGCCGCGTCTGGGCATCTGAACGCTGGTATTCGACTGCAGATCATCCAAAGACTCCTGACGAGTCGTACTGCAGGGACGGGGTTAGGGGAGCAGGGATTAGCCAGGTGGTTGGATTGGAGGTATGAAAAACACATTTGCACTCTTGGGCTTATCGGGGTTGTTAGATGGCAACTCATGAATATATTTCGTCGATTATTTACAAAGATGTGAATGACTTAAGGTTAGCTTACAGTAGTTTCATTATCGAAGATGTTATTATGTTAGCAAGTCAGCTCCAGTTTATCGAAAGCACTAATAGAAACTTAGCATTAACCAGAGGATCATTTTAGATGGTGGTAGTGTGTGAATGGCTTTTGTGAGGATGCAAATTATTGACAATGATCATAATAAGAATGAGTGGACAAGTTTACACAAAAATCTTGAAAGTACAACACCTACCTCTGAATCTCGAATTCCATTCGAAGGCCGGTGTTCACACTACTGTACATCGATTCAGGACCCTGACGGATATATACCTTAACCAGGGGCTTCGTAACGTCTTTGGCTACAACTTTGAGCTGACGAAGGAAGCAGAAATTCAATTAATACATTTATAATATTAAAATATTAAGAGAAAGAACCTACCAAAGCTTCGCTGCGCGGCGGCATCTGTGTTCGCAGACGTCCCATCATGTGATTAGTTATCTGGGGGACATCGTACAGCCGTACAGGCAGCGCCTGTGGAGGGTACGAGGCCAGAGCTCGGTTGTTGGCCTCCAATCGGTAAACGTTCGATATGTGCGTCTTGCGCTGCCGTCCATCGTCTATGTAGTAAATGTCGAAAGTCTCCTCTTCGGGATTCTGGGGCTTGGCCACCAGACGCCCGCGATACCATTGCTTCTGACCACCCACGGATTCGTCACAGACGAAGACATGTCGATCATGGAGCAGATCAGCGTATTGTACACGATCGTTTTCCCCCAGATCCACCACTGTGGTAGCAATGCTCCGTTCCACAAAGTTCAAATCGTCGTTGCGGAGCAGTACCATCAGATCGCCGTCCTCGGTGATGTGTGTCACAAAAATGGGCGTGGTTTTTCCGATATTCTGTTCATCATTGAGTGTAGGCGGCGGCGTAGTCTTTATGATCCTACTGGCCACCAGATCATTTAGATGGACGTCCTCGGCCGTGGATGTGTCGTACAGAGTGGCCACTAGACATGCTTGTCGCCTGCCTTTTCCTACTATGCCCTGAGCAGCACCGCCAAGTTCGAGGAACTGCTTCTGGCTAGTAAGCACACGGGCCACCACTGTTTGGCCTTCAAGTTCGGTAATCAGAACACGCTGAGCGTGAGGATGATCCCTAAACTTGTCCAGTGCATACAAACTTAGACAAATTGCTTGGGCAGGTAGCACGAGAAACTGGGCCGGGCACTGGAACAGTTCTTCAAACGAGAATTGTGCGATATCTCCAAAGTCCACGAAGTGGCAACGACAATTTTTCTGCTCCGCATCGACGGAGATCACACGAACACGGTTCCAGCCCTCGCGGATCTCCACCAGATAAAGCTCCTGCACATGGGGATCAAGCACCTGTTGGCGGTAGTGAGGCACGGCCATGTGTCGGCTCATGTGCGTTGTCAGCTCATCCAACTTTTCGATCTGATCAATCAGTCGGACCCAAACTTCAGTCGTCGAAATGCAGTGGCTGATGTACATGTTCCAATCGTGCGATCCGTCCTCGTTCACTTGCCAGGGAAGCACCAGCTCTGGCATTGTGGCGGGCGTGTTGATACGAATCGGAACCGGGGATCCAGGATCGTTGGCGAACAGAATGATCCGCGGATTAATTCCGTGTTCCACGCGAATCTTGTTCGACTCTATGATCAGATCGTACCAGTTGCTGGGCAGGTGGTGCCCAAAGGTCCTGCCATACCAATCTTCTAGCTTGTGGCCCAGAATGCCGTGCGGGTACTTAAGCAACTCCTGATACAGTCCCTCGATAAACTCATCATTGTTGACCATGCAGACAGAGAGCCGTTGTCGTGATTCTGCGTGTTTGATCCGCTCAATGGCGATCTGGGCTGTGCGCTGGTAGGCCGCTTCCTCATTCGCAAACTCCTGAGGATAGCTGCTGTAGACATCGCCCTCAATCCTCACGGAGCAATTCAGACGTGGTGGCGTATTGAAGATATTAAACGTTGGCTTCTCAAAGCCATGGGCTTCGCAGTACAGATTCAACGATGAAACGGCGTCGTACGTTGGATTGAACTTGAAGTTGACGGTCTTTCTGGTATTCGGCGTGGAGTTATTAATCTTGGGAGCATGATTCGTCACCCTTAGTACATCTTCCGGCTGTGTCGCTCCTTCGGTTTTCGCGTTCTCTGGCGAGTCGGGCGGCGTGATGGGAGTCACCACCGGTGTCGTAGCCTGGGGCGGCGCTTTGAGTTTAAGTCTATCATTCACGGAAACAGAAGTAGGGCGCATCTGTCCTGGGTAAAGCACGCGCGGATGCAACGGCCGCTTAGGGCGGGCGGCAGACGAATCGGCATCGACACTTGGTGCGTTCGGACGGTGAGATGCACTATTGCCCAATATGGCTCGCAGCGGCGGGTTGCTTCCGTTTTGTTTGTTCTGCCCATTGCTCTGAATACGGCTCTGACCATGACCGTTCATGGTGGATCCGATCTTATCATTTGGTACAGTGATCAAGATCGTTTCCTTTTCCATATGTGCGGCACGCATGGCTGTAGGTCCTTTGGATTTCGGAGCTCGATCCTTCTCCATTTCCTGCTTCCGGGCTTCGCACTTCCGTTGCTGCTCCTTAAGCTCTGAGTTCTTACTGTCCTGACTTGTACTCTTTGTCCCTGCGCTCTTCTGACACTCCTTTTTCATGCAATCCTTTTTGGAGTTTTCCAATGATGCCGCAAGTGCTTTTAGTTCACTTTCGTGCTGCTTTTTTAAAGTTTCCAAACGCGACGCAACCTCTTTTTCTATCTTGGCATTGAGCTCTTTATTCCGAGTCTCTAGCTCCTTGTTGAACCTATTCCTAATATCCTTTTCCAAATTTGCCTGCTGCTTGATTAGATCGTTTTTCAGCTGATCAACTTCGCGTTGCTCTCTTTTTCGCTGCTCCTCGAAGCACTGCTGGGCGAGAAACTGCTCCTGCTGCTGCTGGCGAATACGGTTAAATTCGTGTTGTAAAACTTGCACTGGATTAGGTTGTTGTGGATGAAAGTACTGATGCTGTTGCGGTTGTTGATAATATTGCTGCTGCGCTGGACGATAGTATTGCTGCGCTTGAGGATGGTAGTTGTTGTTGTTGTTGTTATATTTGTTGGCGTAGGAGGGAACGCGGTTAATTTTAGGCTTGGGTTTGTTCTTTGCGCTGTTCTTTTGCCCTCTGACCATAGACGCAATGTGCTCGGTTTTGGCACTATACTTCGCACTGATGATGACCTGTATGATGAACAAAAAATGTTTGAATTAATATGTTTTAATCTGGAGATTGGAATAACTTTAGGTAGCAAAGGTTTTCTTTCTTCTTATGCAACATTTTGCGTTCGATTAGAGGGCTTTAAAAAGGCAATCCTAGATAGCATTCGCTTTCTTTAGTTTCTTGGAAGGGAAAGCCGATCCGCTTGGACAACTCTTGGCTATGGGTAATCCAATATGGCACATTTAACTGCACACCAAGCAATTTTACAGCCAAGCCTGTTTACTCAAGTGCTGGGCAGTTGTTTAGAAATCGGAGCAGTTTGAAGTTATAATCACCCAGTCGAGTGATTCAGTGTGTAAGCTGCGATTCAGCATTGAGATCTTTATAGGGTCACAGCTCCAATGGAGCAATGAGGGTCTGGATATGGGCAGGGCTTTGAAGCTCAAGACGTGATAATAATGCACAGAGAGCGCTTGACTCGGTGGCGACACATTCCAATTGTTTATATTTAATTGCAATCGCTCTATATACAGTGCCCGCTCTCTACACAGTGAATAAAATTGTGAAATAATTATATTAAGTAGCAACAAATATACTACTTATATTACTTTAAATAATATCAGCTGGCTTCCATGCGTTTACTTCGTGGCTGCATCTCTTGGATGCCCGATTATCGATTTGGCATAACAATAAGGAGGCCGGAAGCACCCACACGCCCCCACGCCCACAGGTGAGCGAACGCCAAGTGCATTGCAAGGCGAGCATAGACTTTACATTAGGAACAATGCAAAAAGTTCAAGTGTAGCCATTTGGACGAAGACAGAAGGAAACAGCACTCATTCACTTTCACCATGCAATCACACAGACGACTCACACAGTCGCACGCGAAATAAAAGTTTAAATTGCTGGCATTTTCGATTTTCGTGTTACTACACTCATTTTGTTTTTGTTTTCGGTTGCATTTATAAAGCGCTTAATCAGCACGAATTGTAGCAAAAAGAAAAGAAACAAATAAAAAGCAAAGCTCGAGGAAAGCCAAGGCCCGCGAAAAAACCTTAACTAGACTAGGTACCCATTGTTTACACTTCTGACGGCGAAGATGAAAAGAGGAAGACGCTGTTGACACGTTGCCCCTTGAATGGGCAGCCCCGTGGACGGTGGGGGAGGAAAGAGAAGCGCAGCAGCAGCAGCGGCTCACCGCGTTCAGCCAGAGAAAACAAACTGAAAGCGGCGCCGCTGAAGCTAAAGCGCCCTCGCCAAAAGCTTGCCTGTCAGCGAAGGGATGTTCACTTGGCTATTTTATAGATAAACTTTTACGGTAGTTACAGACAAATTTTAGAAGCAAGAAGAAAATGAAAATATTTTTCTGAACGTATTTGATGTGCTTAACTTAAAGCCGACATATAAAAATCTCATTTACGTCAGATTTTTGAAGTATTTTAACCTGAAAGTGCAAAAGGACATAGGGTACATTTGAAGTGCTATAACTTCAAGTACAAAAAATAAAAAAAATAAACAATCAAAGTACATTAATTTCTGTTTTTTTTTTCATGTTTTTTTTTTTAACATGCTTAATTTAGCTTGAAATAAGCTAGACCAACAGTACCGTGAACGCGAGTTTGGTTGCGAGAGAGAGAGAGAGAGAAAGAAAGAGAGCGGGTAAATGAAACACTTTCGATGTGCAGTAATTCGCAAAGAATCTTGGCAACAATTAAAAGTACCTACGAAAGGCTAATTGAATCGGAACAGTTGGACAATATGAGGTTAGACTACATATTTACCTCATTACCGAACCTTTGGATATTGAACTCATTCGTTGCCAACAACAAATCCTCGGCTGTCGCATAGCCCAGCTTGCGAAAAGGCAGCGGTTCGCCCTCGATTCCCTTGTAGTCCTTCAGGATGGACATCAACGTGACCGGCGGTTTGATGGACACCGTCAGTGCCCTCACAACGGCGCCAATATTCTTGATGGCCTTTTCCTTCTCTGTGGCCATTGTAATCTCAATCCGTTCAACGAATCTAGCGAGGAGGGCAGGAGAAAGAGAAGCATTAATTATTTAACCCATTGAACATGATTCAAGTGGTGTGGAATGCGTGCGCCCACCGCCACCCACAAACACAGAAACAGCGGAGCAAAGCGTGCAAAAAGTGAGCAAGCACAAAACCGCACACAGATAACACGAAATAGACGCGGAAGAGCAAGAAAGAGAACGGTAAGAATGGCGAAGTCAAAGAGAAGGAAGAGACGAGCACAGCGGCGGCGCAGCAGCCGAAATGCAGGCATTTTCATTTGTTTATTCTAGTTTCGAATCGAGCGATTTAAACAAACTTATCGCGAATGTGCTTGTCTTGCAACAATTGGAAAATCTTCGTCTCTTTGCTCTCCTCATTCGTATAAAGCTCCGTTATTTCCCTGGGTTGGCATTCCACAGGCCGGGAATCCAATGCACATTAAATGCGCTTGTACTAACCTGATAAAACAGTAAATAACAAGGAATATCTCACTGAGATATGCACTGGAGTCTGCAAAAATGAAGTTTTCCGAGAACGGAAAATATGATGGCGCCGAATGCGCTTTTTCTAGTCCTATTTGGCCTCTCGCTGGTTTTAATTTCTTCCGCTTGCCCTTTGAAATTCGAATACGTGTTGGGTTTTGCATACAATATTATATTGTACAATTACTCCTTCAGGAAAAACCAACTGGCGACTTTAAAAACATAAAATAAAAGTGCGTAGCAACAGAACCTTCTGACAGTTTAGAAATGGCGGCGTATTAGTGGTGGCACTTTGTTTACAAAACAATAAACAAGTCCGGCAACTCGGCGGTGGCTCGGCGTAGCTATTTTTTTTATCGATGGTAGCTTTTTTTTATCGCTCGACGGAGAATCTGGTATCGTCGATAAATTGCAGCTATCTGGCAACACCAACAGCTTAAGCTTTTTCAGTGCGACCAGCGCAGCTGCAGGCCCTTTCGCGCTATATTTGAAAGTATAATAAAACGAAACGAACTGCAAAAATAAATAAATTTGCCACTCATATTAAGAAGTGAAAATAATAATACAATACAAATACAACAATTTAAATTTCTGCCTTATTTTCTAATTTACAATCTACGGTGTGTCTTGAGGCATATTATATACTAAAATGGCCCCCATTCAAGTCAGACGTATACCAAGTGGGTCCAAAATCAGAGGAATCCTTGCTGGGAAGATGTTTGTACGGGTTTCTATGCTCAGGTGGCTTCTGCGGTAATTGAGACTCCCGTATGTCCTCCAGTCGAACAGCTGCCTGTGGAGCCATGTGATGCTTGCTTGACTTAGTGGACGGCATTTCCCTCATCTGCTGCTGATGCTCCTCCCATACCCGACTTTTCAGCTTTAGCTCCTCCTCTCTCGCCAACACCATGTCAAAGTCACTTTCCATTTGGCTTGCCGGTCGAATTCCAAAAAAGAAGGATTGGGAATTTGTGAAGGAAGATGGCGTCAGGAGTTTCTCCATTTGCTCATCAGGCTTCTTTTTCGGCTGGGATTGTTTTAGCTTACAGCCCTGAGGCGGACAGTCATCGGAGGAATGACTTCGCACCTCCATCTCCAGGTAGTTTAGGGCTTTTAGCACTGAAAGAACATGTTTCTTGGTGGCTAAAATAATTTCCAAGAGATTCTTGGCCGTTTTTGGTGATAGTTGTTTGGATTTCTTGCGGCATTTGGAACCTATGGTAGTTGGTTTCGAAGTGGACGAAGGTGGCGGAGGTTTACACGTTGTGGGAGCCGCTGAAGCTGGACAATTGGACGTGGCAGGAGGAAAAGGTGAGGGTTCTGGCAGACAGTAGGTCGAGGGGCAAATAACTGCGGTGGTTTTGGTAGAGGAAGGAGTTGCCGTAGTCCTTGGAACACCTGGGGGCCGCCGATCAGCTTTCTTCCTTAATAGTTTGAACAAAAAATTAAACTTACCCTCAGAGGGTTTTTCATTCCAATTGTTGACCGGCCGGTAGCTCTTGATCTTCTCGAATTGCTCCACACCTGAAGCGTCCATTAGCACCAAGTCCAATGGGCCAAGGAACCCTTTATATTTGTCCTGTTTAGAATTGTGTGTCTTGAATCCAACTGGCAAACTATTAAAATGACTGTGGGTCTGGGAGCTGCTAGGATTTTTGGGCTTATTCTCCATCCGATCGAGGTCGTCTAACTCCTTAAATAATAACTTGGTATCATGGATATCGTGAAGGAAGCGTGACTCTGGAGGCAGCTGGTCCCACCCATCATTTTGGTCTTTCCTTTCATATTGTTCCCAGCTCCAGGGAACCTCGACATCTGGGGATTTATTAGCATTGTTGTTCCCGGATGGCCCCACGCCTGACAGGATTAACATTGGCAGTAGCCAGAGTGCGACAGTGCTATAGCTTCGATTCTGCATTGACATTGTTGTATGTAAAACAAGATTTTTTAATTTTTTTTGCCCAGGTTTTCTCTGGACACTTTGACTCTATTAATGACATTAAAGTCAGAACAAATGTGACGGTCGCAACTTCAATTCTTTTGTAATTTTGAATCAATCACCTATTTTAAAAAATATTTTATTTTTTCAGTCTTCAAGCTTACATAATCCCATAAAATCTATTTTTATATAAAAGATAATCAGTGTCGGTTTTTGAAATATTCCCTACTCTTCCCTTTTCTTTAATTACTTTTTCCGTTACTGAGAAAAAAGATATTCCTTGAGTACCTCTAGGATTTTCCGACATGGCAGATAACTTTATGCGACAAACAAAGGACATCGGCGTGAGAAACTTCTAAGGACATGGCAACTGCCATGTCGCCTTCATGCGAATGCATCGACCATAGCGGGAAGGGGTGATTGGAAGGCTACTGGAAATTGGCCTGGAACTTAACTTGCTGCTGACTCAATTCCCAAGCCACAGTCGAGTTTTCCACGTTCAACGGAGCAGCAGCTCATCCTCGAGAAAAAAAGGACAATTAAAAATATAAATAACAACGCAATAACTTGATAAACCTCTAAAAAGCCAGAGTTCTTAAAACTCTCCAAGAATTCAGTGCTGTTAACAGATTCCCAAAAGTTCTGTGCCTCCCCCAAACTTAAATGCCACTCAAACGCAAACGCCATAAAAACTAATCGTTTTGCACGGGTTGCACAATTCCAGTTGAGCCTTGAAGCTATCCGGAAAAGTTAAATCCCGAGGATATAGTGCGATGACTGTCCTCAATATGCACGCCAAAATGATTATATTGATTTTATTTTTCTATAACGGTTCCTACAATTGGAGTAAAAAGCTGTAAAGGCCCCTCCTCCGGCTGCATCTGTCTCACTCGCTCCCACCCCCTTCGGCAGGCGGCGTTTGATTTTCGTGTGTTTGTGTGCGTCCCGCGCCGGTGTGTGTGTGTGTCTGTGAGAGCCTGCCAGCGAGTAAAAAATCGAATTCCTAAGGTAAGCCCCATGTGTTTGGTAACACTTTTTCGATTTATACTATAAGTAACCCATGGGGGAGGCTATCCGAACTCCCGCTATCGATTTTGCCATTTGACAAGAGTTGCAGTTTAACAACAACAGTGGCAGCAGCAACAGCCACGGCAGACAACAAAAGAAACGGTCAATAAATGTGCGCAAAAGCGAGGCATCTCCACCTACAGTGGGGGGCAGCGAAAGTGGTCACGAGTATCGGTATCCTTGATGGGGAACTATGTACATATTATTTCTAAGCAGTTTGCTTTTAGTGAAAATTTAAAGTTAGTTAACTAAAATTTTGGAGGTAACCTATGCAGGTAACCTATGCCGAAAAGACCCCACTGTTGGACCCCCATTCCCTCTTGTTCTGATTCCCTTGCCTTCCCCAACATTCCAGCCTCGGTTCCTTGTGGAATTTCCAGAGCTTTCCAGCGTCTGCGCATCAGTATCCTGTTGTTTTGATAGTAAAAAGGACAAAGCCCCGCTCACCAACACAGCCAACAGGCGACTGCACTTGTTTACAAATACGCACGCCAGACACGCGACACGTGGCGCAGGGCAGCCCCTGGAAGGCCTCGGGTCATGGGTGGTGGTGGAAGCCACCTTTTCCACTTCCCAATTCCCAATTCCGTTTCCCATTCCCAATTCCAAAGGCCGGCCGGCAAGGCGAACCTGGCGGATGAGCAATGTCTCCGAAGCATGACGTCAGAGGTGAACGGCGACATTGAACTAGTTTCAGTAACAATCCACGTATACGGTTCACGTTTCTCCAGTGACGTCAAGCCAGACGTCAAGAGAAAGCCCGGAGACTAATCAGAGACCAATAAGGCCGCCAATTCGACCTCCGAACTTTGGCTTCCGCTCCACTGAAATTTCATTCCATCGACGCTGCTTCTTCGGTCGCCTCCTAATTGGTGTTTGGCCCTGCCTCGTAAATCGTCAGTCACGCAGCCCTGACTTGCTTTTTGCGCATCGAATTCGTTAACTAATTAATTAATAAATAAATGTTTGTTTATTCATTTAATAGTTTATGTGAAGCATGCCCTCTAAATTGAATTTGTTTTTGTTGAATGCAAAAACATTTTCTTCTCGTTGCACCTTTGATATATTCTTTTCGAAATTTCTAGTTTCGAAATAATATTACTGGAAATAATGTACTTCTTAGTTTCAAATTTATGGTTAGACGTCCCAATAAATTCATAGTTTAGGTTATCCAAACTCAACACTTATTTTTAAGTACGCAAAATTATAATGTTTCAAAAAAACCGATAATAATCATAAATAAACTAATAATTTCTTATTCTTTGTTCATATAACTAAGACGCAGATGCTTTAATCTTGATAGCTCTAATAAATTTAAAAGGCTTCTAAAATCTAATCTTTAAAATTAAAAAAAAATACAGCCGTGTTTCTGTGGTTATTCTCAGAAAACCTCATGCGTTTTTCCTCTACTCGTATTCAATTGCACTTTTTTTTAGTTTCGCACTCATGAGTACAAATGACCTTGGCTAGTGCAGAATACTTAATGTAAATTGCACCATCAAAAAGTGTTTGTCTACATCTCGGCAAACACGACAAGAATTTTATTACGGCGCAGAAGTACAGATCTCTCAACTATGTATATGTCTATATGGCAGCTATATAGAACGGCCCACTCAGACGGCATAGCTGGCGATGCTAGCTGCAAGGAGGTGGGTGTAAGGGGGCGTGCCGGGCGCCCTGGTTGGCGCAAACAGTAAACAACAACAGAGAAAAGCGCCGGGCATTTGGCATTGTTTTGTGTGTGTGTGCTGGGGCCTCGATCAAAATGGGATCAGGTGAGCCAGCTGCCAAGGCGACCTAGGCCTACGACAGTAGATGCCCCAGAGAGGTAATAGGGAGGCTCACTAGCAACAGTCTAAGATTTTCCATTTTCTTAATAATTTGAAAACTAAATTACAACTCTCTTGTTGGTAGAAAGGAAAACAAAAGAAATTCTACTGTAAATTAAAATCTAGATTCTAGATTACTAGAATAATTAATAAAGACCATAAATGCAAAAATCTATTCCCTTGAGTACGAAACAGGAAAAAGAAATTAAGTAAAATGATTTATTAGTTTTCTGAAAATATTTTGAAATTACCTATATTTTTATGGACGTTAAAAATGAAGTAAAAGCAAGGCCAATATAATCAATAAGATGAGTAACGTCATACTTGTTTTTTTTTACTCCCTTAAAGCCTGGCTTAAGGATTAATTCAATGAAATAAATTTATAATTTCTTATTTTTCGAGGAGATTCTGATCAAAAATCAATGAATATATTTTTTAAATATTTATATATTCAAGCTTAGGAAGTCCCACTGTAATTTATTCATTATTTCTATTGTACACAAACTGTTGTTGTCTTGTAACCCGGCAAAGCCCATTGGATGCCAATTAGTTTGTAACACTTATTATATCCTGGGCCACATAAGCGCTCTGTTTATTATAGGGTAAGGTGGGGTAAAGCCGACCTAGTAAATGGTTTTGGCTATAAAATGCTTATTTTACATCGGATCAAGTCGTTATATATACCAAATTAAAGGTTAGACCTTTGCGCAACTTTCTATGCATAGCATTTTATTCATACCTTTGAAAAGTTTTGAGATACAAGCGTTTTACGAAAAAGTTCATTTTTGCTATGTTCAAAAATGATGGGGTAAACCCGACCGCCTATGTTTTTGGTTGATTTAGTACAGATATAACCTAAATATAGGTTTTGCAATGATATATCAATCAAAGTTATGTTATATAATGGTAATAAAAGATAATAGAATTAAAAAAATGAAAATAGCAAAATAATTAATCAGTATCATCTGATTCGCTGCTCAAATAGCTTGCTGGCGTTTTTTGGTTCGAGTTGAACGTCTGGTTGGCTGCGATGTTGATGGTTTTTGTGTGATTGTTGTTTTTTTGGCTTTTTTTGCGGCAGGATTTACCCCACTATTTAGAGGTCGGATTTGCCCCACGACGTAATTTTTCATAAAAACGCAATTAAAAAAGAAATTATGAAAAAAAATGAACCAAACTTATATGCACTTTGTAGGACTTTATTCAAAGAATCTAAATCCACTTACCTTTTCATGCGATAACTTTGACAAAAAGAAATATCCTGCAGTTAATTATGCACAAAAATGAAATTCAAAATTGTGAAAACAAACTTGTTGTCGTTTGACCATCTCAATGTTGACTAATAAAATGCTGTCATACCACCATTTACATTGTTTTCGATGCTCTACACGACAACACTAATATTATTTTGCGTAGTGCTTCCGATTTTCGAAAACAGAGGGAGGTCGGGTTTACCCACACTGTCGGCTTTACCCCACCTTACCCTAATAATACTTTTACGTAGTTGGCAAGCGTTCCTTGAGCCCTTTCTCTGTCACTTTCCCCGCGGGACCTTGGCCCTAACCAGAGTTGGCATTATGAGTGGCGCTCTTCCTCTTCTTCCAAGTCGCTTTATGGCTTCGGATCAGGGGGAATATTCATAATGCATGCATGTCACCACCCCCTCCGAGGGAGTGCATTCAATCGAATCCACAGCGGGTGATAAGGTGCGGGTATACAAAGTATGAGAAGCATCACAAATTTTCCACTCGGTCAGTTATAAAATCCGAGTTTCAGGGGACGAACCCTGAAGTCCAAAGCTTTAAAAATAGACCATAAACAAGAGTTGACTCAGAGCGATACGATTTAGCAACTAAAATCAAAGTAAGCAAACAAACAATATGCGTGTTATTATCATAACACCGTTTATCAGAGCTCAGAGTCATGGGGTGGGATTTTGGGAAAGGAATGAAAGAAAAATACCCTGCTTAACAATAAATAATTAAAAAAATAAATTAATATATTATATTATTAATAATAACAAATAAATTTGTCATGTTTTAGAGGAAATATATGACTTTTCTTGTATACAAAAATTTCCATAAAGAGGTCATCTCTTAGGTCTTGTTTAAATTCCTTGCCATACAGTGTTATTGTTTATCACGATTTCATTATGCCCTAAATTAAACTGTATTTTTATTTGTTTATTAATTTTTTTTGTTGTGATTATTTTTAGGGTGTATCACGATTTCACAAGACTTTCTAAGAATATATTCTTGTTTATTTATTCTCCCTTCAAGCGGAACTTAAAGGCAGCCTTACCCTCTTCTCATTTCAGAGTTCCTATCCCAACATTCGGAATCAACAATATTAACAACAACAATAACCCCCGATTTTGTTTACTGCGAACCTCGGGAGCAAAACAAAAATCGCGTTCAAGTTCCGCTCCCCTTATCTTATTGTGTGGAATTTTTCAAGCTTTTTTTGCGTCATAAATTGAAATATTTTCGCTCTTGCGAATAAAGCAAAATCTGAACACCATAGAAACTGTGTCAGACGCTGCCTCAGCCGCAGTCGCAGTCGCCGTCGTCGTCGTCGTCGCCGTCGCCGATCGTTTATATAGCGGCGGGTCGCACTCGATTTTCACCAGTCGTTACGCGTCTCTCGGAGCATTCGCCTCACAAAGCGGACAGTCGGAAAATCGGAAAAGCCAAGGGAAAATATTCGAAAATAGCCAAAGTGCAAGTGCATATTATATAGCCAACCGACCATATAGTATTGCAGCCCAGTGTCGAACAAAATCCTCTTCGATGTCGATTAACTCGCCAATATCGTTAAAAAACTCTGACCTGCATTGAACAGGCAAAGGCGATTACCAAATTAAAAAAAAAAAAATATAAAAAGTAAACAATTTTAAGGCCGAAAAACAGAAGAATCAAAGACTAAGACTCGGCATAGACCGCAAACAACAAGTTGTTTGCTTTTAGTTCGCGTTCCCCTTATTTTATTTTCCTTCCGTTCGTTCGTTCGGTTTTCCACGCACGCGCGTCGTGAAAAACATTGAAAACATAAGCCACAGCAGTTGAAGCCCCCAACTGTTGCGCCTTAAAAAAAAAACCGAATTAAATCCAATTTAATTGAGACCTTCGTCGAGTGGAAAAACCACCACAGCCCAGAGGATACAAGTTTGTGTGTGGAAAAAGCGAAATAACCAGAGATCTTAACCAGGAAAACAACAATTTTGATTATTGGGCTTAGGCCATTGTATGGGTAAGTAAATTAATAATAATAAATGAGATCATTACTCAGAAAGAAGTATTAGTCAGAAAGTGGGGAAACACTAAGTTTTTTGGGGAATTTTTAGACTGAGTAGTAAATTTAAGGCCTGGTTTTTTATATTTCTTGAGAGATTTGTAATAATTAAAAAATATTTAAAATTTTTTTGGGCATTTTTGTTAAGTCTAATACCCATAATACCCATAAATCCAGGTCAGGCACAAATTGTTTATGTTAAAAGACAAGTACAGCAGATTGTTTATAGAGTCTGCTTTGCTTCCGAAACAAAAGCTATTTAGTGGTTTTTCCAAAAATATATATTAGAAAGTTTTTGAATATTTATGATATGCAAAAGTTATTGTAAAGAAACAAATTTGCGCTTTATTTAAAAATAAAATCTTAAACTACAAATATATATATGATATAATGACCGTAATAAACGTAGTTGGCAGCACTAAAAGCCATTAAAATTTATTTATATGAGTTCATATTTTGTTTCCAAGTACATATAGTCTAGCCAAAATGCCCAGAAATATAATCAACATTCCTGTAAAATTTAATAATAAAACTCAGACCCAGAACAAAGAAAATTGCTCACAACGAGGCAAAACAACACCGGAACTTGGGAAAGAAAAATAACGAAAAGTATATCATTGTTTACTAGCTGCATGGTCTGAAAAATAGGGGCAAATAAACTTCATAGATCGTTTTCACAAAGCAAAACACATTGTAGTCCAGACCAGCAGACTCTGGCTTCCGGTGAATCACGTGCAATTAGCAACAATTGCGCGTGCCTCAGCGAATATTTTCCATGTGCCACATTGAGAGGCCAGAGCTCCACTGAGTCACATTACAAACAAAGCGAATCACAACGCAAATGTCTAATCAAAGCCATGCAAAACAAGATAACCGCCTGACATTGTCCAGATTTCGCCTGAAGCCACCTTGAACCCCTCGTTATATACAGTATCCACTAACTTTCTGCCACCTTGGGCACGTGGGCACTTTAAGATACTCAAATTAGGGTACCTTGTGGTCATTGTACTTATTCTACTTTATTGCCTGCAACTAACAACAGTTGCCAATCAGCACTTGAAACCCATTTTAGAAGTCCCCCCGCCCATTTCCTGCCTCACGCTGATAACAAAGTAAATTGTTTATTGCTGGCGACTGTACCGCCAGATGGATTAGTTCCCGGCAACACACTGAGCGAAAACAAACCCAAAATGGGGTCTAAACACAGATTAAAAGGGCTGTCCATCTGTCTATGACTTTGACTTTGCCAAGGTTGGAATTACATACCTGCTGAGCTAAGATCGAAGGCAATTACGAAACCCCAGGAGGGATTTACATTAATCAGCAAAAGGGATCAACAAGGGTGTAGGTCAAGGGTCCAGCCTGAAAAAATATGTTTACTTTACAGTTGTGGTAAGGGTTATAGGGAAAAAACTAAGGGGTCTGAATCAATATGAGATGACACAGATAACCCTTTAGAAATAGGTAGCTTAAGGAATATATATATAATATTTTACAACTGTTGAAATCCGAAGGAGACCTTTATCAGGGATGCCCCAGACACTTTTTATTAAATCGAATGTCATGTTTAACTGAAAAGGAAAGCAATGTTTACAGATTAGTAGACTTTATAAATAAGTTTAGACTTTAGAATTAGTACAAAGTACTAAAGATTTCAGTGAAACCCCTGGCAAGTCCCAACTTTAGTGGGTTTATATTATATCCCACAATTATATAACCTTCTTCTAATCCACCCTTTTATCCTCTCTTCCCCAAAAAATACAGATCAGTCTAAACTAACGACGAAATTTGGAGACGAGCCGGACCTCCTGTTCAAGCGAGCGCAGGGCCGGATTAGTCTGATCAGTGCAGGAGTGGGAGCCACCCAGGCTGGTCTAGCTGCCCAAGCATCGCTGCATCCAAGCGCCAACGCAACGCTTCAACAAGTCGCCAACATTCAACTAGAGGCCACGCTCAATGACTGTGAAAGTGGCTATGTGCCCACCGTGGGCCGCTGGGGCTCCGAATGGCCGAGTTGACTCGCCGCTGCCACCACCAGTCGTCGACGGGATGGAGGTGGAGCGGTCAACTCGCTTGTCGAGGAGGCCGCTGCTGCTGCCGCCGCCGTTGCCCATGATCCGTTGCTGCTCGCCGCGGATCAGCAACTGGCGGATGCTGTGCGCGGAATGGGATTGACTACGCGATCTGCAGGATCCGCAACTGAGCACGCATCTGGACATGGCACGGGCGCCATCCGTCGCACACCCTCCACCTCCAGCGAGGAGGACTTGGAGGATGAGGAGGAGGAGCTGCCGGAGCTGGCGCCTCCAACCGACCTGACATCGGTGGATGGATCGGAGCGTTACTCCGACATCAGGCAGCTGCTGGCCCGACAGCAGCCACTGGCTCAGCTGGACGATGGCGGTATCTCGCCCAGCAGCAAGTCGTGGGTCGTGGGCGATGGCTACGATCTGGAGGCCTTCAACCAAATAAACGGTGTATGGCCCCTGGGCCATCCGTTGCCGCTGCCCGATTGGTCCGATTCCGGGTCCGGCAAGGGCACTCTTATCTTTGACAACGTCTGGCAGTATGAGGAGCTGAACGGGATTGTGGAGACAACGCTGCAGCGGATGCTAGAGGAGACACACTACAACACGGTGAATCTCTTTGTGGATTTCTATCGCTCCTTCAAGCGCACCCGCCGCTCCGATCTGCGCAGCTTCTTCCAGTTTTACGATGTGCCCATCAATCGTCGCCACCACATGTGCGTATCCCTGGCCTTTGAGATCATTGCCAGGATGGTTAAGCTCTTCCCAGTGCTGGCCAACTACCTGTATGTGGTGTCCTGCGAGGAGCAGGTGATGGACTGCAATGACTACGTCCAGCTGGACGAGGAGTGTGGTCTAAATTCGGTGGATGCGGGCGTGGAGAAGGAGCATGTAATGGTGGCCATGCGCATTGCCATTGGCGAGCGCCGTGGTGTGATGATTCTGGATCCGGGATACCATGTGAGCCGAGCTGTGACTGTCATGCAGGATCAGAGCTATCCTCACACGGGTAAGTTTGCTTGATTTATCCCTTGGAAAGCTATACTAATTGACTTCATATTCTCTAGGTTGGTTCACCCAATCGAAGGAGCCCCATCTGCAGCGGGACTACTGCTACGCGTACAGCCAGCAGAACGGCAAGTTTGTGGAGTGGAAGGAGCGCGAGATCCGCGGGGAGGAGGCCAGCTTCAAGACCTCGCTGGTCTACGTGGCCCAGGAGTACATCACAGCGATTGATGTCACCGTGCGCCGTAATCTGGTGTACAACTTCCGGTCGCTTCTCTCGCGAGACGCCAAGGGTCAGGTGTACGCGGGCATCTACTTTCCGCTGGTGGCCAATGTCCAGGAGTCCTACCTGACCATCTTTTACGACGGAACGAATGAGCAGCGAGTGCGGACAAAGCTGATGTTCAGCGCCTTTAAAGTGGGCAAGGGCAAGGTGAGAAGGAGGCATAGAAAATCCCTTTGAAGTAAAAGCTAACAATTTTTAATTATAGCAACTGCCGGACTCCATTAAAGAGCACCTGGGCAGGCTGGCACCGCAGATGAGAATGCCCCTGCAGGAGCTGACGGAGCTGTGCAAATCCCTGGCCGAGGTGGTCACCGACCAGAACTTCATCAGCCAGGTGCTGGCCATCAACGATGACATCGGCAACATGTCCGTGGAGAATTGACAGTTAAAGGAGCCTAAGGATGTCGCTGCTAGTTCCGAATTGGAAGGAGAGATGGGAGCAGGAACGGAAACGGATGTGAAGATGGATAATAAACAGGCGATAAAAGACACTGACAACGCAGCTGCAACTTAGAGTTCCGAGTTTTTTGAATACGTTGTCCCTTCCACAGTAATATTTCTTTTAGTAGCACTTAGGCACCTCTCTTACACCCACACAAACCAGCACACACACTCGATTCAAAGTATATATTTCAATTTAGTAATATATGTATTAAACTATGTACACACACACACACACACACACAAAACACACTCTATATAATGGTGTAATCCCAAATGAATGATTTACCCGAAACCGGAAACGGAAATTTAATCTAAACCAGAAAGCGCAAAGCATAGATTTTTCAATTTTCGCTTAGATTCAGCTTCTGTTTATTTCAAACTAAGTATACACTTATGGACGTACGCGCAACTATATAATGGCCAAATTAGTTGATAACTGGTATCAAGGCAAAACATAAATTGTAATTGTTATATGAAAATATTTCTGTTGTAACACTTGAATGCACTGTACAATTTGGTTCTAATAAATAAATCAGCTAGCAAAATGGAAAGCTTTTGCATTGTGGGATGGGAACTTCAGAAATATTCATGGGGAAGGATACAGATTATAGAAATGAGCTGTTTTTCTTAATTTACGTAATACTTTATTTATTTATCAACTATAATAAGTTTGGCTTGATTATTTCTCTATAATTTAGGTATTATTAAAACTAAATTGCGTATATTTAAAAATGGTTAAAAAAAGGAAGTACCTAGACACAATTCAAGTTCAAATTCGATTAATTCTCAACAGTCTTGTTATCGATAATTGCTTGGTATTCTTGAACCACACAGCCAAAGGTCACACTGATCTCCCAATTCCCCTTAGAATTTGGCTTTTTTTTAGCTGTTTTGTTTGGGTAATTTAGCTTTTTTGCTCAAAAAGTGACATCACTGGCTCGTGAATTTCGACGATTTCGACTTTTTCAATTAAACTCTTTTCAAACTAACGTGTCTGCGAGTGCGTGGCCAGGTAACTTGCATACACCTCACCTTTGCCTCTACTCGCTGTTATTTAAGCCGCCTGCCCATCGTCAGCTGTTCATCTCACCCAATCCGCCCGGCAAGTCGTATAGCCACCTGTTTTGTGTGCCAAAACAAAACAAGTTCTGGGCGAAAAGGCGCGCAATTAAAACTAACGTTTAGTTTGCTTTTGAATATCTCGCGGAGCGGTTGTGGCACCAAGGGCCTGGCAAACCGGTTTCGACAGCCGACCCACTGTTTTTCGAAAACGTGATTGAAACCCCAAAAAGCAGACGATCTCGATCTCACTCGCAAGTGCATTTCGCTTCGCAGGCCAAATTGAAGGTAAAACAAATACCATATTAATTAAAAAGCGCTTGCAAGGGCAGCGACAGCAACAACAATAGAAAAAGAAAGTTAACCATATGCAGCCAAATTAACAACGAAGACGACCGACCGCAACAACAATATAACTGCTAAGCTTTTGCGTTTTGTTGACGGAAGTCGAAACTCTTGGGGCAGCACGTTCAGTCGCAGAGTCATACGTACACAGGGAGAAAAAATGTATGAAACTAGGTTAAAGTCACGGATATTTATGAACTTGCACTTAAATGTGCCATATCCATATATTATTCAATTTCTTTAAAATATTCCTCGGATACACTGACAGAAATTTATTTATTTGATGGTAGTTTTTTTTTTAATATCTTCAAGGACCGGTTTTTCATCTTCAAGTCTTAGTTGATATTATATTTCAAGTTAATATGAGAAAAACTTAAATTTTCTTAGCAGGTACTTTATCTGTTCGAGAAACTTAAACGGTCAGAAAAGAATAATCGTTGTATTCTTGAGGTTTCTTGATTTATTACGATAGTTTTGAACCCAAGGGAACTTGAAACCTTTTCGTATATCTTGGTTCTAAGTGTTTCGTTAATATTTATCCTATAGATAAACTAACGTTAACTAATTGGAGCTGTCTGGGAGAGCTAAGAGTTATTACCCGGTTAGTCTTCTGGAGAATAATTCATCATAATTATATATCCGGCTAGTTTGACTGGTTTATAAGTAAGGCTTTAACTTACTTTGGTAATCAATTTTATCATTATGTGACAAAGACATAAATTCAATATTAATTCTCAAAATGTTGTTCACGGTGTACGATGTGAGGTCGCCTGCCCCTTTCCCCATATCAAAACCCATGAAGAAACCGAGCGCCTTAGTCAATTTCAGCTTTGGCCCCAAATTCACTCTTTTGGCCCCGTTCATTGGCTTTGGTTTTGGCTCTAAGCTGGGGGTTCTTCAACTTTCATTCCGCCGCTGTTTGGGCTTTTAATTTGCATTTTACGAGCACACCTAGCCCGTTCTCTCACCGACTCTTAACGCGCTAGCTCTTGACAAAGGCGACAAAGTATCTCTCCGGTCAGGTGGCATCTGTTTAATTATTTTAATTGTTCTCCGGTGCAATTACACCTCAAGTGCAGCGTTGAAGAGGCTGAGCTGTGCAGGTCGCAGCGCAAATATGCATAAATCTATGGCCACACAACACAAAGGCATTATTGGCTTGATAAAACCGGCTAACAAACTTACAAAATTGCTGGGCAAACACGAAAAGTCTCAGGTGGAAGAGGCAACAACTAAAGCTGTTGATGGGTCAATGGGGTTAACTCGAAACTTGGATACTCTGAGTTGTAATTATTGGAAAATTAAACTCATGGGTTGGGTTGGGGTTTTCCTAAAGGAAATATTTTAGTGGTACAATCTTTGAAAAAGCTTGATTGTGATTGTATTAGTTAATGTATCTGTTAAATAGATATATTTTCTGATATATATTTTTTCGTTTACTTCACTCTTAGACAAGTGTTCTCTATATAAAACCTTGACTAAATCCAAACGACTTTCGATGACGAATCGATTTCGTGCAAACTATTCACTCAGTTGCGTGTTCCACAAACAATTTCATTTAGTTAATGTACCCGCTTAGCCTCAATTCTTGCTGACTCAGCTGAAGGAAGGGTGTCGCAAAGTGCACTCGAGGCGAATTGACTCGCCAATATTGATAATTGCCCCGACAACGACCAAAGCTAATGGCTGTGAGGAGCCGAAACCGGAATCTTTATCAGCCGACTGGACTTTGACCTCTCATAAAACTGATTCCTTATCGTCTCCCCCGTATTCCCTTCCAGACACAATCATGCTGGGCGCCCTGCTGTCGCTACTGTTCATCGGCCTGCTGATATGCGCCTTCCTCTTCTCGAAGACAACCAAGGAGTTCCCCAAGTCCTGGTTCGAGTGGAAGACAGAGTTTCGGTACCAGTACCTGGGCATTGTCGGTCTCATCCATGACGCTCAGCATGCGGCGCGGGATCGTGTGGGTAAGTGGATGCATTCTATACATTCAAATCACAAGCTTATGCGATTATCCATTAAGCACTTTACAAGCAACCCGATCGCATCGCTGTCATCACCGGAGGCAACCGCGGCATCGGTCTGCGAATTGTGGAGAAGCTACTGGCCTGCGACATGACTGTCGTCATGGGTGAGTTGACCAATCCGAGCTTTGCCGGCTTAAAATCTAGGGCCTGCTTATTGATTCCACAAACATTTACGAGGAAGGTGAGTGTGCTGTGCAGTGCGCGTGCCCGGAATGGATGAGTGTCGAGCAGAAAAGAAATTAAAATACAGATCAGCGCAATGCAGATTCATTTGCAGCGTGACTCCGTCTGGGAAAACGTGATCCATACACTCAAAGTCATTAGATAACCAGGTCTCGCTTTCCGTATAGATCGCATCGGGTTTTTGGGGGGATTTGTAGCGATAAGAGTTTGTTGACTTTTGGTTTGAACGTAACATTTTTTTTGTGTGTTTTTAGATATGGTTAGTCAGTGCAGGGCTTAGTGTTTTTGATAAAAACATTATTTTTTATATCTATGTATATTTTAAGAATAATTTTTACTTTTAAAATGTAATTTTTATGAGTTTTATAAATTATTTAGTTTAAAATTGCCTTAACAGTGTGAATATCGTAATAGTCTTCGTAGATCGTATGTAAAATTCATGTCTAATAGCAGTTTGCGCTTATCATACACTAGATGTCGCCACCTAAATATATTTCTACATGTAGAAATTAGGTAAGATCGTGTCGAAAGCCAATCTTATATCGTTTAAAGCTATATATTCTTGTACTAGATCAAAATCGGAGTCATTAGAATTCTAAAAATAATATTAGAACATTTTTTTAGTTATTAATCTAAGTAAAAGTGTAATTTGAAAAAGGTTTTAAGCAAAGATTTCCTTTTAATAAATATTTTTAATTTCCCCCAAAGGTGTTCGCGATCCTCGCAGCGCTGAAGCCGCAGTGGCATCTATAGTGGACTTAAAGGCCACCAAGGGCAAGCTCATCTGTGAGCAACTGGATGTGGGAGACCTGAAGTCGGTCAAGGCCTTTGCCCAGTTGATCAAGGATCGGTACTCGAAGGTGGATCTGCTGCTAAACAATGCTGGCATTATGTTTGCACCCTTCAAGCTCACAGCCGATGGCTACGAGTCGCACTTTGCCATCAACTATCTGGGACACTTCCTGCTTACACACCTGCTGATGCCCAAGCTAAAGGCGGCGGGCAAGGAGGGAAAGAATGCCAGGATCGTGAATGTCAGTTCCTGTGTGAATCTCATTGGACGCATCAACTACAAGGACATCAATGGAACGTAAGTAGAAGACGGTTTTCATTGAGATTCCTATCAGTTAATGTGATTTTAATGCTTGCAGGAAACACTACTACCCTGGAACCGCCTACAGCCAGTCAAAGCTGGCTCAGATTCTGTTCACCCGCCATCTGCAGACTGTGCTGGATGCTGAAAAAGCGCACGTGCAGGTGAATGTGGTCCATCCGGGCATTGTGGACACCGATCTGTTTGAGCACTCGGCCACCACATCGATTCCCATCTTCAAGAAGCTGTTCTTCAAGACACCAGAGAGGGGCTCCCGGACCGTGGTCTTTGCGGCCATTGATCCCTCTATCGAGGGCCAGGGCGGCACGTATCTAAGCAACGGCGGCAAAGGTCCCTTCCATCCGGATGCCAAGAAGCCGGCCAAGTGCGAACAGCTCTTCCAGTATTCCTGCGACCTGCTCAAGATCCAGCAATACGGCAACGGCGAATTCTAACGCACGCCATAACACTCAATCTCCCTCCCCCTCAACTGGTGCAACGTACTTTCTTAGATTCCATCTCCTTAAATTGTTTGTAAATCGATTTCTTGTATGGCTTATACATATACATATATATATTTTTATATAGAAACGCAGCTGGTGTTCTGATAATGCGAACCACTGATGATAATCTGGCCCAAGTGCTGTGCTTAGGTTTTAATTAACTTGTCTTCGGCGGCTGATTGCCATCGCCCGGCAGGGAATGCAATTAAAAGTGCAGCAAAAACGACGGCTACAAACATTTTCAAGATGCTGCACTCAGCTGTTGGCGGCGGCGGCAGCTTGAAAGGCGATCGACCAGAAAAGCCCCCCTACTACATGCTATATGTCAAATT